TCCAGAGGATTCTTATTCTGAATTTCTTGGCACAAGCTGACCATAGGTCAGTCTCCAGACTGGTCTAGTCAAATGTGAACCAGACCCTCTAGTCTCCAGACTGGTCTAGTCAAATGTGAACATACAGTCAGGTCCAGAAATATTGGGACATCGACACAATTCTAACATCTTTGGCTCTATACACCACGTAATTGGGGTACTGAGGGGATATCACACACCTGGCCATGGAACAGCTGAGAAGCGTAATTGGGGTACTGAGGGGATATCACACACCTGGCCATGGAACAGCTGAGAAGCGTAATTGGGGTACTGAGGGGATATCACACACCTGGCCATGGAACAGCTGAGAAGCGTAATTGGGGTACTGAGGGGATATCACACACCTGGCCATGGAACAGCTGAGAAGCGTAATTGGGGTACTGAGGGGATATCACACACCTGGCCATGGAACAGCTGAGAAGCGTAATTGGGGTACTGAGGGGATATCACACACCTGGCCATGGAACAGCTGAGAAGCGTAATTGGGGTACTGAGGGGATATCACACACCTGGCCATGGAACAGCTGAGAAGCGTAATTGGGGTACTGAGGGGATATCACACACCTGGCCATGGAACAGCTGAGAAGCGTAATTGGGGTACTGAGGGGATATCACACACCTGGCCATGGAACAGCTGAGAAGCCAATTGTCCCATTACTTTTGGTCCCTTACCAAGTGGGAGGCACATATGCAAACTGTTGTAATTCCTACACCGTTCACCTGAGTTGGATGTACATACCCTCAAATTAAAGCTGACAGTCTGCAGTTAACGCACATTGTGTTTGTTTCATTCCAAATCCATTGTGGTGGTGTATAGAGCCAAAGATGTTAGAATTGTGTCGATGTCCCAATATTTCTGGACCTGACTGTACATTAAGCTGAACTCTGGCCTGTTTGTTTGGGCAATGTGTATTATATGAGCACAGGATTTTGTGTTTTGTATTTTGTTAACTTGGTTTTTGTGAGCTGTGTGTGAATCCAGCCATTGGTGGCATGATGGGGCTGTGGATGGGTAAGAGCACTGTCCAGGGATTGGAGAAAGAAAGGAAGGGCAGGATTTTGGTGCAGTTCACTAAAAGAAGAAAAGTAGTGATTAGATGTGACAGTTACTTGTATCCTTCTGATCTGTTGCAGGAAACTGTGCAAGTTGTTCTGCCACTTTCTCTGTATTGAAGAAGAGGGTGAGTCTCTTCTCTAGCCCACCAACTCCCTGCCTGGTCTGTTCCATCTTGTTTTTTCCCTGCCTCTTCTTCTGGATCTCAGGCTGAACTCTGCAGCCTGCTCACTCATCTTCTTGCATCTTTTCCTTCTCTAGCGAAGCTGCAGTAATTGTGGGAACAGTTTTTGCTCCAGGTGCTGTTCTTTCAAAGTTCCCAAGAGCTACATGGGGGCTACAGGTAAGCGAATAAGAAAAAAAAGAGGCGCAGATGGGATGGAGGGGAGAATCATTTAAGTCAGTGTTGTCCAAACTTGGCCACTTTAAGATGAGTGGACTTCAACTCCCAGAA